AGCATATGCACATTGGTACAGATAGCAACTGGAAACACAGAGAATCCAGGACAGATGACTCCTTCAGGACCAGTGGTGAGAGGGACGAGGCCTGGAGGGTGGAGGGAATGTGGGGTAGAAAGGAGGAACTGATTACAAGAATCTACGTATGGCCTCCTCCCTGAGGGATGGACAACAGAGAAGAGGGCGGGGGGGACACGACGACACACACACACACACACACACGCGGACGTCGGACAGTGTAACTTATGACAAAGCAATAATGATTTGTGAATTATGGAGGGTTCATGAAGGAGGGGCTAAAGGGGAGGGAGGGGGAAAATGGGCAGCTGTTATCAGGGGCTAGAGTAGAAGACAAATGTTTTGAGAATGATGAGGGCAGCGAATGTACATATGTGCTTGGCACAATGGATGGATGTATGGATTGTGATAAGAATTGTATAAGCCCCCAATAAAATAATTTAAATTTAAAAAGATAGCACTGATTAATAGCATCATCTTCACGATGCCAGTCAGTGACATTAAACAACTGGCATTCAGGGTCAGACAACCGGAATAAAAATGACTTCTTACTCTTAAAAATCAATATATCAGCTAATAATAAAGAAATATCCTATATAATAGTCTCTAACTTAATTGTCAAAGAAAGTAATATGTGTAAGAGGCAGAGAAAACCTGTGTGTGAAAAATTGGAAACTAACTTAAAACTGTGCTCTTCTATCTGCAATAAATATTAAAGTGTGTTTCCCAAGAGATTTAAGAATAAAGCAATTCCTAGTGTTTTCGGAGAGATCCAAAGGAAGCTACAAATGAATTTATTCTTCTGATTTACACAGAGCATGGTTAGAGCCACTGCAATAGATCAATTTGGGCTTTATCATTTAAAAACTATTGTATTTCATAAAAACACATAGGAAGCCCTTGGTATTCCAAGAGTTATCATGTATTTTACTCAAGAATGGCTAAAATTTCAAGTATACATATTTCATAACAGGTAGCAGTATGTAATTCTACTGAAACAGGAATTTGAATCATGCTTAAATTAGGCCAGGTCCTGAAATATGTCATCCGAGAACTCTGAGCCTAGAACAAACTCTCCAATATATATATTCTCAGCTAATGCAAGAGTATGCTCATGCAAGCTCCAAATCTAAGGCTCTAAACTTACAAGGTCTCACCAAGTCATTCAAAATTCCAAGTATATTTGAATGCACTTTATTATAAGGAAAATTAAATGCTATTATGGTATTTGTGGAACTCCAGAGGATACATCCCTTGCAAATGTCAGGGTTTATAGTTAACTCTCTAATCATCTGTAACCACATCTTTAATGTAGGGATAATACTTGTGTGTCTCCAATGAGATATATTATGTAAAAGCTTTTATATAATGCAATGACTATATAAGTTGATCTTTAATAAAAGTCAGTATTACATAAAAATTCTTGATCTATTTTTAAAAGTTGATTCTGGACAGCAATTTTCCTAATTAAGACAAAACTGGTAAGTCCTTAACCAAGTTTACATCTCCTTTTCAGTGATAACTATCAACATGAATCTATTTTACCCTTGCTATTTACTTTTGGAAGTTTCTGCCTGACTCATTTCTTTTTAATCATACCACAACAATTTTGGATTTATTATCTTTTGTAAACCTACTGGGTATAGCAGACTGTTTCTGGAACTCTATTCAATGACAATTATCACTTGATTGAATGTTAAAACACACCTCTTCATAGGCTAGCTTAACTATTCAATTATTACTTTTTAAATCAACCAACCAATAACAATAAAAATATTTCTTTAAAGTCCTAAAAATTTTGGGAGGGATGGTGGGGGAGGGAGGGAAAAATGAGGAGCTGATACCAAGGGCTCAAGTAGAAAGCAAATGTTTCAAAAATAATGATGGCAACAAATGTGCTTCACACAATGGATGGATGTATGGACTGTGATAAAAGTTGTAAGATTTTTTTTATTGCAATGTATGTCGTTAATTATCCATTAAAAAAAGGTTTCAATCTCTTGTGTTTATAAAGATGAGTTCCCTCAATGTTTTGTTGCTAACAAATTTAATTCTATTTCACTTTTAAGAGTTTATTAAAGGGAGAGAGCAAGAGAGAGACAGGTACCCATGCTAATGCTAGAGTATGTTCATGCAAGCTTCAAATTCAAGGCTCTAAACTTATACACCAAATAGTAATTTCCTGTGTAGGCTACTCTAATACCCAGAGTTCAGAACTAGCCTATGGCAGAAGTTACAAAGTTACAAACCAAAGTACAGTTTATTTCAGTTTTGTAAATCCACGGGGAGCAAAGGCTGTCCTGTTCTTGTTTCAAGTCTGTCCAATTCACCTCATTTGTAGAACTCAAAAGAATCAATTTTAATAACTTATTTTCTAAATGGCTCAGAATGTCAAATAACTTAATCTTAAAATGTGACACTGCTAATTATTTAATTGTACAAGGCAAAATTTAATAGCCAATGATAAACAAGCAAATGCTATTTCTTTGTGCTGAGACAATACTACTTGTTGAATTGTCTTTCTTTGTATATATCAACAATTTCCTTAAATGTACTCATTCTTCTCAAGAAAACATGAGAAGACATGAGAGTATGTTTCCACATTATAAGTTCATCCAGTCTCCTAAAATATTCATTCTGACACATAAAGAAAAGTTATGTTGTAAATTGGTTAAGATGATGACAAAGTTAAAAATGTAAGATTGCTCAGTAAACCGAACCACATAAAAGAGGAATAGAACGAGAAAAAAAGATTATGAAGGGGCTAAGTATTAGAAATAGTAAGGGGCAATGAATGTACAAATGCGTTTTACACAATTGATGTATGTATGGATTGTGAGAAGAGTTGTATGAGACCCTAGTAAAATGATAAAAAAAAAAAATAATTCTTGTGGAGTCCATTATATAAATAAGTACAGAAAATGTAGAAGTCAAACACTAAGAGAATAATAAGGTGGTTCGAAAAGGTGTGGTATTCTAGAAGAGTTTACATGTTCATATATTTTACATGTTAGTATATATTGCTTTAGAGAACAGAACTGTTCTGTAGAATCCGAGTATTTTGAAAGTACAAGGAAAACTTTAAAATCAACCAACCATTAACAATTAAAATCCTCCTTTGAAGTCTTATAAAAATGGTCCTTTCCACATTTCAAATGGCCAATTCCTTATTTAACAGCTTTCTAACTCCAGATTTTACAGACCAAGATTTCATAAAGTAATGCACACATATGTCATTATTAGAATAATTTAAAATATTATTCCATGTGCAAATAACAATTCTCCAGTCAAAGCTCTAACTATGTACTTATTATCCCAGTATTACAAAAGGCTGGTTAGAAAACAACTCTAGGGGTGGTCCAAGTGGTTTGCATTTAAATACTACTTGGATTCACCCAGTGGTGCCACAGGAAAAGGCCTGGGTTCTATAAGAAAACAGAAAACCCTATGAACTATGAAGTAGTTCTACTCTGTAACACATGGGATCTCCATGAATAGAATTCACCCAACTGGCTCCGGCTATATGGAACACTAAACATAGATGCCCATGAATGCATTATAAAAACAGTTTAAATGGGGAAATAAATACTTCTGATCCATTCTGTACTATAGAATTCCCCTTTCCCTTCTGTATTTCCATTGTAACTCCACCTTTCACAGACAACAAATTGAAGTGACTCAAAGAGCAGGAAAAAATATAATTTTAATAAAACAGAATGGAAGAATTTAAAACAACAAAAAATGAAGGTCAAATAAATCATTCTGGAATTCACTGCTCATTAGTTTAAAGTGAAGCTTTTCTGTGGCACAGTAAAGAATGCTAATGTAAATGAGAAGTGTCCTGGACGAGAGGTGTGGCAATCTACTTCCAAAATAACAGCCATAAGAAACCCTATGGAGCAGTTCTATTCTGACACACACACAGGGTTGCCAAGGGTCAGAATTAACCTGATAGCAACTGGTTAGTGAGATATGTATAATATTAAACAATATGTATAATATGAAACAATTTTTATGTTTCCTGTAATTAAATGAATGGGGTTTTCCCAGCATGTTGGTAATATTCCAAAGAACTATTAGCTTTAAAATATTGTCAATATGCTGAAGAAATCCCAGTCGTATACAGTCATGGCTGCTAGCAGAAAGAGTTTTCTGTCCTACCACAGGAAACGTGTTCAGATACTATCTTTGTTTACCAATCCACTTTAGTTGTAATCCAATCTATTGAAAAATTTAAAGTAAACTGACAAACATAATCAAAATAAGAAATGGGTTTTAAAAAAAAGCATTTTACAAGTCAGTCAATATTACATTTTGAGGGGAAAGTCTACTCTGTTAATATTCTTTAAAATGGTTTAAAATACTACTAAGAGCTGTAAAAACAATAGACTGATTATAGTTTCAGGTTTATAAAATACAAAGCATGTTTTACATTATAAAAATTTACAGTAACACATAGTAATATTGTTCTAAGCTATATCACTTTATATTATTACTACTGGTGCTTCAGTCCTTTGAAATTTCCAAATATATATTTTAATAAAACATTTCATCAAACATCCAACAGCTTACAGGGTTAGCTGAGGGTTAAATGTTCATATATTACCATTTATTATGAAATATACACACAATATGTAATTTTATATTTGGTCTTCCTTCATGAAGCATTTTATACTACAAGGTGGTATTTAAACAGAATAATTAGACATCGAGGACATCTGGTTAGCAATCACTCCTTTATTACAGGGTCATGATACATCAAGCAGCATCTCAATGTAAAAGGGATGTTATTTTAGCATGCTCAACACAAAAACACAGCATCAACATCTCGCCTTCCATTCACCCTCATTATTTCAGTCTAAAGTTTTAAATTTGGGATCTTTATTAAATTCTGGCTTCTTACAAGAGACCTGTAACACAGCTCACCACAAACCCTGGTAATAAATTAAGCTAAAAAATACAGCATCAACTTCACATACCTTCTTGAGATGTCCTAGTCTAAGTTTGAAAATTTCTTCCTGTTCATGATATTCTGCCAAGGTCAACCTGTCAAAACAAGACGGTAATTCTAGATATTAAGATTCATACTATTACCTCTTATAGCCAGCAAATGGGATAAACTAAATGGAAATGCTAATACTAGAAATTTTCAGTCTAAAATATAAAATCCAATATAATTGAAGATATTCTTCACAACCAATTTTTTTTTCTTATAAGTGAACAAATAACTAATCTATTAACTCAAGAACTATTTATTGAGTACTGTAGGCCAAGTGACATTCTAAATCTTAAGGATGGAGCAAAAAGACAGATTCTTATATTTGAGTCTGAGTTTACACTCTGCATTGGGGGTAAAGGAAGTAATCAGTCAACCAATTTAATAAAGGAAAAACCTGCAAATAGTAAGTACTATGAAGGAAAAAGAAAAGGAAAAGATAATAATGACTATTATTTTATTTGGGGCTCTATACTAGGGGGGTGGACCTTGATATAAATGTTAAAAAGACAATCAAAAGAGATTTTGAGGGAATAAATTCTATAGAGTTTATAGCAAGTGCAAAGACGCAAGGATGGGGACAAGGTTGGCATTCAAGAAGAAAAACAACAATACAAACACACCTTAAAAACGTGGTCAAAGAGATCATGAGTAGTAGAAAAGACACAAGGGCCAGAAAGTATAATGGGAAATCACTGCCAAGGGAATTAGTCTAGTGTCAGCACAGGTTTCAAAAAAAAAAAGAGAAAAACAACACCCTAACGAAGACTTAAATTCCAATGAAATACTTTCTTGCTTTTTGTAGATTTAATCTACTAGGAATGAATCAGTAAGGTAAATAAATGGTAAAACTGTAACCAAAAGATCAAATTGGTATTCTTTAAATCATTAATAAAATAAAGATGAATGAGACTTTAAGTATTGGGAGTGCTCTATGGTATCTCAATAATTTTGAAATATTCTTATTACTTAGAAATTTAACTAGAGTTCAATGCATATAGAAAGTTAATAAGATACCAGTACTTTATAAGACTTCCTATGAAATACTTTATATTCTGATAAAGAAAATGAAGAGAGAAAAAAAAATCATTCTAAGAAAGTATTTCCATTTCATATCCTGCTTTTGAAGGTATTTTTATCTATTACTGCATGCCCTTCTTTGTCCATTATGCATTCTGAGGGGATGTGGTTAAGTGTCTAGCCCAGGTGTGATTTACTTAGTTGGTTGAGTCCCCTATTTTCCTTTTACTAGATTCTAGTTAAATGTATCCATTCTAAAAAGGGGGTGTTCAGTGAAAACCAATAAAAGTTCAAGAAATATAGTTACTAGTCTACTAGAAATATTGTTTAAGTTGAAAAAAATAAATATTTAAATGTAAATCTTTTCTAGCCTGTGTCCTGCTAACACAGCTGAATTTTATCACACCGACTATACCAATAATCACCGCAGCTGGTTACAGGAAATTTAGAGATTAAATGTTGCAATGTGAATGTAGATGAATTGAGAGAAGGAAAATAAAATAAAATTTGTAACTAAAATTATGATCTAAACTAAAAGTAAAGAGAAGGCATAGAAATGAGGGCAAGTAGCTTCTATGGCATATACTTATCAGCAATTAAAAGAAATTTAGTTACCTCCATAATAATAAATCATAATTTCCCACTCTTAAAGTATGGTTTTAGGTCCACTTCCAGCTCACAGCATGGGTTCAGAATAAAATATTAACATCATGCAAATTTTAGTGTGAGTGCGCTCTCTCTATGGTATTAAAGTGGACCCTGGTAGCACAGTTGCTAAAGTGCTCAGCTATAAATCAAAAGGTTAGTGGTTTGAACCTACCAGTTTATTTGCCAGACAGAGATGTGGTAGTCTGCCTCCCTAAGATTTACAGCTTTGGAAACCCTACAGAGCAGTTTTCAATCTCATGAGGCCTTGAGTTAGAATCAACTCAATTGTAGTGGGATATAAAAAAAATTTGTTTATACTGGAATTAAATGTAATTCTGCATTTTATTTGGGTGTTCGTGTTAAGGCCCAACTACCACTAAGGCCTATTATCAGATGGGGTCAACAGAAGCACAATCGTGAGGATGGCGCAGTACCAGGCTGTTTCCTTTTGTTGTACATTCCAACGCGCAGAGAGTCAGAAGCAACTTGACAGCTTCTTAAAAACAACTGAATTACAAAACAGAGCTAAAATTCCATATTCAGAGACTAAAATTAATACATGGCTTTTGTTTCCTCATATTTTTAAAATGCTTCTATTAAGAAATTTGGTTACCATGTAAAATTTACATATGCACATATGACTGGAATTTCTAAAATTTGGAGGAAGGACCTTTTTATTGAGTTGACAGTGGTATCCAAATGCTATTATTGTGAATTAATGATAAAATCAATGCTAATTAGCATCATTTTTTAGTTTGTTGAGTGCTGTGACTATTAAGAGTATAATAAATAAATAAATTTTCTTCAACAGTACTTAGATCTGGCTGTTAACACACATATGTACTAGGGTTCCAATTTAACGCATCCACAGCCCTAAGGCAGATGCACATAAATACTCCAACTTCGCTCCTTCACCAATACTGAAAGCTTTGAAACATCTCATAGGTGTAATCCTATCATCGAATAGATACAATTCTCCTTAAAGATTAAGGGTCCATTTCAGCAACAGAACTATGTACTTATAGCATCTTGATCAGTACTGCTAAAAATATCTAGCTTTGAATAATATAAAAAACATATATACTACTAAAATATCTTTGCTTGGTTTCAAAAATGCAATAGGTACTATAAGGCAGCTTCAGAAAGTTTAATTCCATTTTCCAAAAACTTTTTTTTAAGCTCTCTTGATATTAAGCATCAATGAGCAAAATTTAATAAACTATTAAATATTGGGCTACTGACTCCCTACGATAATAATTCTTACCATTTTCTGATCAGAGATGTTAAAATAAAATATGAAGAAAGTTATATACATTTCTCCCAGAAATTTTCACATAAGTACATTTTGGAGTTCCGAGGTCTCAGGTTAATAAACTCTAAAAAGGCCAATAATTTCCTATACTTTTCTGTATTTCTTATCAGTAACTAAATGTTTTTAAAAAGAAATTTATGTTTTTTCCATAAAAAGATTTGGGATAATTTTTGTTAAATATGTGGTTTCAAAAGTGGAAAAATAGAATTAAAAGATAATGAAAATTTCCATGAGCTTTAATAAAAAGCCCCTTGTAGGATTTCAGGAAACCTTGATGGCACAGTGCGTTATAATTGAGCTGCTAACCACAAAGCTGTGTGAAACCACCAGTTGTTTCTTGGGAGAAAGATGAGGCTTTCAACTCTCACAGATTTAGTCCTGCAAACCCACCGAGGCGGACAGCTGGTGTACGTGGCTTCCACCTCATAGCATTCGGCCTGAGATGAATCTTGGTTCACATCGCCCACCCCTGAAGCAGGTATTGATACTCTGGACTTCTCCCACCATTTCACAGCACCTTTTTCCAGCTTTTATTCTCAATATATTTCTTTTTTCCTCTAGCTGCTTCTGGGAATTTTTCTCTTTGCCTTGGTTTTCTGAAATTTCATTATGTCCTGTCTAGCTAAGCATTTTCTTTTTATTTATCCTGCTTGGGATTTGCTGGGTTTCATGAATCTGCAGACAGATATCCTTAGTCTGCTTTGAATTTTCAGTTATCTAATCTTCAAATATTGCTTCTGCTCTGCTCAAAATTGCTTTCAACAGATTGGTATCTGACTTGTCAATAACAATAATGCAACTCAGAAGACAGTGGAATATTATCTTCAAATAATTTTCAACCTAAATTTTTAAACTCATAAAAAAATAATCCCCAAATGAAGGCAAAATACACTCGTTTTCAGATAAATGAAGGCCAAGAGTTATCACGATCATCAGACTCACAACTTTAGAAGTAAAATGACTCCAGATGTGAGACCAGGGATGCAGGAATAAAGGAAGAAAAATATAATATTTATCCATGCTGCAAATATATCCATGAATGTGGTGAACACATAATGAGAAAACTTATGAAACCTTCTTAGACCAAACCAAACACCTTGAAGGAATGAGTCACTGAGCCTGGGAACTCAAGACTACGGTCTCAGGGAACACCAAGAGCAGGGCCCAACACAGGCCACGATGAAAATGTCCTACATGTCTCTTCCTGCCTGGAGGAAAGACGGGCAAAGGATGCTGAGAATACATGGAAAGAAAGAGACCAAGAGAACATCAGCCCCTGTGACCATGAGACCAAGAGGAAGATGGTACCCAGCTACTCATATCAGATGCTTGGAAAGGGACCACCTTAGAAGGAGTAGAGAAAAATATGGAACAAAATTCAGTATCATAAAAAAGACAGGTTAATGGTTGGAATGAATGGTAGCATCCCAAAGATTGCCCTTAGTCATTTTTCAGGTCTGAACTGAACTCCTCCCTCCCTGAGCCCACTCCACACAATTTCCAGACAAACAGGCCTCTAAGTGGAACAATAACACTAGGGAGAAATTCACTTTTGAGAATAATCAACCCCTTGGGATCAAAAGGGTAGCACCTGCCCACAGACATTGCTCAGAAGGCAAGTAGAAACAGAAAAGAAAGAGTTAAAGTGTTGCTATGTGAAACAAAATGTTTGTGAATTGTAGAATGGAAGACTGTTTACTCTGTAAACCTTCATCTAATTTACATTAAAAAGTTGAAAGATTTTCACACAAGATTAAGAAAAACCAACAGTTTGACAAAATAATAATTTATAAATTATCGAGGGTTCATGAGGGAGGGGGAAAAATGAGGAGCTGATGCCAGGGGCTTACGTGGAAAGCAAATGTTTTGAGAATGATGAGGGTAATGAATGTACAAATGTGCTTTATACAATTGATGTATGTATGGATTATGATAAGAGTTGTATGAGCCCTCAATAAAATGATAAAAATAATGGGCAAGAAAGAAAAGAAAAAACCCACAGTTCAATGATTTATAAAATCTTGATTTAAAAATTAATGTTATAATAGGAAAATACAATGGGCTCTAGAACTTCACTAATATAAAATACACAGTAAAATAATTATTTCTACTTTGTGATCAATCATCCTGTGAAACTTGAAATATAAACATCAAATAGACAAAACCAAAACATAATTTGAACTATATTTAACATGGAGTCAAAATCTTGAAAAAAATAATACAATTGATAAATGTATAATCAATTACACAAAAAGTATAATCATTGAATTTATATATAAATAACAACCATATAAGTTATTTATTATAAAATAATGTTTTTAACTAAAATTAAAAAGTTAACAAAATCAATGACAGTTAACTAGCTATCATTTATTAGGTATTCATATTCCAAGCACTGTTTTAAGTATTTTGTATGTATTAACTCATTGAATGTTCATAACATTGTGAGATATACACTGTGAACATCTCCAACACAGAAGTTCAATAACTCAAGGAGTCCTGGTGGTGTAGCCGTTACATGTTGGCCTGAGAGGTGCAGTTCCAAACCACCAGCAGCTCGAAGAGAAAAACGGGCTTTCTACTCCCAGTTACAAACCCACAGGGAGTCGCTATGAGTCAACATTGACTCAATGGCATTAGATTTGGTGGGTTTTGGCGGGGGGGAACCTTACAAGTGGTATGACACATAAATTTAAACACCAGAAACCTATGCTTTTTCACAAGAAACAAACTGCATTTTACTAGCACTTAAAAACAAAGGAAGAGCCAGAAACCACGGTACTTTGTATGAGTTACTTGGTTGTATCTTTTCAACACTATGATATGGGTACAAGCAAGGAACGCTCAAAGAAATAAAACAGCTTTCCTAAACAATATGATCTGATTGACTCCAGGGCCTGAAACTCTTAATAGCACGATTTTCTACATTAATTTCCTGATCTGCATGCAAGGCAAAGCCAGCCTTCATTAAAGAGATTAAAAAAAAAAAAAAAAAAAAGGTGTTGGAAGAATACTAGTAAAAAGTATGTTAAATTATTTATTTTTAATTACTCAAATGTCATGATCTATGAATTAAGTACTTTCCCCCCACTTACAGCTACATTTGTATAAGGATGTAATCAAAACTGCTATGTAGTTATAACTTTGTTTACACTCCAAGAACTCAAAGCAATAACACTCTAGGGGTTGCTGGTTTCAAACCAACATATGCAGTAAAATGAGTTGAAAACGTGACAGGACTATGATGATTAGATCACAGTTATGGCTGTTAGAATCTTGGAAGACAAGTTGAAAGCAAAAACACCTGTGACAAACTAAGGAAAAAATGGTGTACTGAGATGAAAATAAAAGTTCAACCAAATGCTCAAGTATTGTAATCTAGTATTTACTGGGCATTTACTGCTCACTTTTCAAATGGCATAACTGTGCTAGATGCTGAGTATAGATAAAATTGGTGAGGTAAGTGCTACTATACAAGTAGACATACAGAAGACTATGGATACCTAACTTGAGGGGATAAAGGCATAAGTTGGAAAGAGAAGTTACTTCTACTCAATGAAAATGTTACTGAGGGGAAAATGAATACGATGTCTAAAGGCCCAGAAAGAAGAGAGCAGAGTCCGTTTGTAGAACTGAAAATATTTAACATATATGGAAGATATCAGAGGATGAGTCTAAGATTTTATATATAAGGTCTTTAAGGTAAATCTGTCTTAATGGTTTTAAGCTTCAGTGGAAGAAGATTATGCATGAAGGTGGTATGATGGGACATGAAAGAAACAATTATCTAGGGTTTTGGTTTTTTAAACCAGTGACAATAAAGATGGGAGAAACAGACAGATATGAAAATGTGAAAGAACAGAATGAAGAAAAGGGAAACACTCAACTTGAACCCCAAGTTGCTAGTGTCATTAATTGAAAAGATTCTGGTGCTGTGACTGACAGATATAGGGCACAATGGAAATATCTCAAAGATAAACTCTTGTTCTTCAAGAGACGAAAGGCTTTTAGTATGGACACGGCAATATCTAGTACAGACTTAAAAAGGTGAAGAGAACTACACAATGGGTTGGAGTTAGAAAGTTGCGGTGAGGATGAGAGGTACCAACGGTTAAGAGCCAACAACGAGGCAAGAGAGGTCTGCAGGAGCCAGAGCATCGGGTGCTATGTAAACCGCACTAAGAGTTTGGATTATATCATTCACAATGGACCGCAAAGAAATGCTTTAAAGAAAGGAATGCTGTGTGGTGCTGCCAAGTCAATTCTGACTCATACTGATCCCATATGACAGAGTAGAACTGCACCACAAGGTTTTTAGGCTGTCGTTTTTATGGGAGCAGTGTTGGGTCTGTTTCCTAAGGACTACTGGATAGGTATGAACCAGGAGCCTTATGGTTAGTAGCCAAATGTTTTGTATCAGCAAGGCTCCTTAAAGAAAGGAATACGGTAATATTTTCATTAGAGAGAAATTATTTCAAAATAGACTGAAGGCTAAAAACAAAGGTGGGTGTGTGTGTGTGTGTGTGTGTGTGTATCTCATGTAAGAGATAACAGTAATCTGCGTGAAGATTAATGGAGACTTGGATTAAGAGCTAAGTAGACAAATATGATCTAGAAGAAAACTATTTCAGTTGCTAAATGGTTTTTTTTCAATTTAACCAAATACTTGATTCCAACTTACAAAGGCTCAAGAAGATTTTTAAAAGTTTACCAGCACAGTCACTAATAAAAACCAATTAAAGATGGATTAGGAAATAAATGGAATTTATTTTTAGATAACTCTGAGCTAAATCTAGAACACTACAGGTGACAACCCGAATTCTGGCTTAGGGGACTGACTGAATGGAGGTTACCATTCATTCTGAGAGAACACAAGACACGGCAAGGTTTCTGTGTGTGCATGCGTTCATGGAAGGAAAAACAAATGGCAATGATGATAACTTAGAGAGACTGCTTTCAGTAAGTAGCACTAGAGGTTGCTGGGGATCATTTAAAGTACATTTAAGAAGGGATATAACATTCAAGACTGAGAAATAAGGATCTAAAACCAGATCTAATACCCAAAAGAGAAAAGTACACTGAAGAAAGAAATCTGGATGTCAGCCGCACACACATACATGGAAATTAAGGGTCAAGAGTAAGTCATATTCAAGGATGTGCAAGGGAGAAGTCAGATGGCTTTCAATAGATTTCTAAAATAGACTATGTTTTACAGATTGGTGGGGGGGGGGGTAAATAGCGTTTCATAGAAGAGTTTGCGAGAATGCAGCCCCATGCATTAATATAAAAATTAGGAGAAGATATTTTAGAAGACAATCTCTTGGTTAAACAGAATTACCAATAGTATTCAATGCTGACTCAAGGGTCAATGAAATTAACATCAAGATTAATTAATGATTTTTAAAAGAATAACTGCAGCTAAGATAGACGAGATCAGAAGGCGAGACTGAACGGCTGCAGTTATAGGTAATTCCTTCATGAAAAACAGTCATGGAAGCTAAGAGAGATTTATAGGATGACCAAAACTGAGGGAGTTCTTTTTTATCTTTCCCACTTAAATGTTTTATGAAAAGACAAAATCAGTAGAGAACAAAAGGTTGAGGAAACAAAAAGAAGGATGTTTCAACAGAAGAGGTTCCTGATGTAGCAGAGAATTAGACTCACAGCTTGGATAAAAGCTTACTTTTCAAGAAAGTTGGACACATCTATTCAAAATATCAAAGAGCAGAAGAGTTAAATACATTTTCTACTGATAGAAGTTTACGTAAGGTCTACTCCAAACCAAACTCACTGCCAGTGAGTCACTGTTGACGGTCCATAGACCCCAGTAGGGTTCTGAGACTGTAAATGTTTAAGGGAGGAGTAAGCTCAGTCTGTCTCCCAAAGAGCTGCTGGTGGTGGTTTCAAACCGACCAAGGAGACCTCAGGCCAACACGTAACCACTACACCACGAGGGCTCCTCTAAGTTCTACTAGAACAGAAAAATTATGTAGGTTTGGCTGCACCAGCACCAGAATAATAACAAGTGTGCTCTCTGTGGGTCAGATCAAGGGCGCTTTAAACAGTTCATGTATCTTTTAATTCCATTTTTCCATGAACTTATTGAGTGAGGCCTTTTCATATTGCTTCACTGCACACTTCCAAGTTTTCTGTAGTAAGTATGTAATTACTTTTTTTAAAGTTTTCATCTCTCAAAATATAAAACGTAATTCATCATTAGTGTAGAAAGCAAAGAAAAGCAGAAAGGGGAAAAACAATACCCATAACTCACCAATATGTTGCTTTCATAGGTTGAGAAAATATATAAATGCCAGTTTAACATTAAGTTAACACAATTCTTTCAGAGTAAGGTACCGTTAATGTGAACTCTTAATTGAAATATCTGATTTTTTACTGTTCAGATACGAAAGGAGCATATGTTAGTTTCCTCTTAACCATTTAAGTCTCCCTTTAAAAGAAAAATACAAAATTTCCATTTAAAAAGCCAAAATTAGAAAAGCTTAGGCTTTATTAATTTTGAGCTACATTTTCAACATTGCCTTTCTTCCCTACTATACTAGTTTGCACTATTTAAATATTAATTTAATTACAAATCCAGCCACTGTTAACATTTATGCTCGCTGTCAATAATAAAAAATTAAGATGAGGCTTACAGTTGTGGTAAATTTGGTCTAACAAAGGGATCATTTTCTGCTCCGTTGACGGTTTTGTTTTTCCTTTGTTTTGGTTCAGAATTTGTAGAGGGTGCCTGAGAATTATTAGCTGTGGGAGGTTTGCGTTTGGCTAGGAGTTTCCGTTGCCTTTCAATCTCTTCCCTTTGCTGATTTACCCACTCTTGTTGTCTGTGTAAAACAAACAAACAAAGTCACATTAGCCTCCCATTATTTTTCCATAATTAAAACATTTTTTAAAAACAAGTAACTTTTATTTAAAAATCACACAATATAAATTCGTAACATCACGAATCTACTTTTGGGAATCAACTTGTACTCAATTTTCAAGTCATATGTGGAGCAATTCTTTCTAAGCAAATTCTTCCTAAAACTCCATCGACTAGACGCAGGGGTCCTCAAACTACGGCCTGCTGGCCACATGCAGCCCTCCGAGGACATTTATCCAGCCTGCTGGGTATTTTTGCCCCGTTTGTTTTTTAACTTCGAAATAAGTTATGTGTAGTGTGCATAGGAATTTGTTCATTTTTTTTTTTTTAAAAACTATAGTCCGGCCCTCCGACGGGTCTGAAGGACAGTGAACTTGCCCCCTATTTAAAAAGTTTGAGGGCTCCTGGCTAAAGAAAGAGGTGATAGCATATATATTATCTCAGAGTTTAGTAGTAGAAACTCTTCTTCAAAAATCCTCAAAGATTATGGTTTCAATCCCGAAACTATCTCCTCCCAAATTTTATTGTTAATATTTTAACTGAAATCCATTTACCTTTAACCTGGACCATTTCATTATCTTAAATGCCGATGATTTATCACCTTTACAGTGTTATGTACACACTATCACCAGTGTTCTCTTTCAAGAATTCAATTTTTGCCACACCCACCCTATGCTAACTTTTAAAAATTATTAGACTTTTATTGGGGGAGTCTTACATCTCTTATCACAATCTACACATTCATCCAGTGTGTCAAGTACATTTGCACATATGCTTCCATCATCATTTTCAGAGCATATGCCAACTTTTAACAGCATCCTACTACAACCCATAGAATTAAAATCTAATCTAACACCATCAATATTTAACTGTCTTTTGTTACAATGCACTTAACATCTAGCCCAGCTTTGTTGAACGAAACCTGAATAAATCTACTGAGAAAGAGAAAACAACTCCTGGATGGTTGATGGCTATTCCCTTGAATAAGAACCAGCATTTGAAAAAGCAACGCTGATGTCATTTCTCTGAGAAAACGTCTATAGATGCTTGCACCACTCTAGATTTTCAGGTTCTTAAATTTTTTTCTATCTCGCTGCCCCATCCAAGGAAAAACAGCATAACTTCTGACCCTTTAGTACAGATCGTTAATTTTATCTAGCACTAGATGATTTCATGAAAATATGTTGACAATGGTTTCTTTCTTTTAAAGTCTACCCCAGAAATGATTAAAAATACATGTTTACTTTATTTATAAGTTACTGTACCTGAACCAGATGGTAAAAGTTACCATCTTTACCCTATGAACAGAGAGCAGTCAAGTGCTGAATACCAACACTGAAATAAAGATTGGGAAAAGGGAAAAAAGGGGGCGGGGGGAAATAGAAAAATCCCAGGATGCATGTGTGCATATTTCTAATTAAAATGAATGTTCAGATTTTCAGTATTTTTCCTCTCAAAATATCACCTACAAAGCTAAAGGGTTATATGATGTTTTGGACAAGCTCTATTTGGAACAGAATGCTCATCAAGAAGTCTAAAACTAAAATTATGATTCAGTACTTTTGTTACATCTTCCTTTCAAATACAAAATTTGGCAAATCTCAAAGAACAGTAAGGAGGGAGGGGATGTAGAACATAATTAAAAAACTAAAATATTTTACTACATCTTAAAAACATATAAAAATGACTAACTTCACGAGATTCTGAAATGCAAAACCATCTGTCCATTGTTCAGTAAATGAAGCACCATGTCTAACTGTTGTAAAGTGCCCAAGGCGTAATCTGTCTTGCATGCTCTTCTCTCTGCTCGACAGTTTTTCTTGCGTACTCTGAAAAAACGGGAGGAAAATGTATCACTCAAATTTAGTCATTTAAATTTTGAAAAGTATACTGACAGAAATGGGCTAGAAATATGGGGAAAAAATATTGAAGTTTTAACTTACCTTTTCAATAAGAAGCTTCTTGCTCATTGAAATGCACTTATTTAATCGCTCTTTGTATTTTTCAAGTAATTTTTGTTGTTCATCTATTTGCCGTCTGAGATCACAATTAGCCTACAACATAAGTAGAAAATGCAAAAGATTTAGAATTTACACATATACAAAGCATTTAGGAGTGTATTTAACAACTGAATAAATGGTATAGAGATCGTTTACTGCTAAGTTTAAATACTGTAGTATGATACTGAAAACAAAAAAACTCTACCTACCATTGGGATACCATTACTAAATACAGCTGGGTAGTATATATTATATAGAATTTGTATTTATAGTCAATGGGTCCAAATCCATATTCTAAGGTCTACAACTTAGTCCATGTTAATTAAGTTATTGAATCTAAATTCAGCTTTGTTATTTCTAATCTAGGGGCAATACTACTATATAATAAAGAAATTTGCCGGCCTTTGTCCTAGGTTCTTTGGGATTAACTTCAAAATCCGTGGTAGTTCCCAAGTGATAACCTTTGTCATTCCTGGTTGGCTCTGATGTTTTACGCTAAGAGATGACTTGAGATGTGGGATGGTCATGTTTGAAAGACAAGTCACTGTTGGAGCTGAGTCACCCATTATCAGCCAGACCTTAAGGGAGCGATCATTCATGCGTATGCAATGAAGGTCCAGTAAGAATTCTGGAGACCAAAGCTTGGGTAAATTTTTTCTAGTTGTCAAAAGTTCACGTATTACCACACAGTAATGTGCCAGAAAGGTGACCTGTCCTCACTCAATGAGGGGGCGGGGGGCGGCGGGGGAAGGAATAAGAGACTTTGCTTTTGAATCCTTCCCAGATTTTGAGAACCATTGCTTTATTCCTTAATTACATGACAATTATACTTTTGAATTAGTTTTCAATTAAGAATCTCATAAGACTAGCAATTACTCCATCCTGTATAGCTATCAAATGTCAGTTGGATATTTAACAAAATCAATGAACTTTCAAACTAAGTTGAATTAATTATGATTTTAATTGATCTTACAAAAATAAACTTTATACACTTTCTTCTAACCCTTCAACTATTTCTCAATTCACATTTGAAGAACAAATATATTTTCACTTTAAAATTGGTTATTTTCAATCATGTATCCACTACCATAAAATAAGGCTTATTTTTCCCACCTATAGAATCTACTTAACAATGCTAAAGACTTTCAAATTAGAAAACGAATTTACATTATTTAGAAACATTTATTCACTCTTTTCCTCCTCCAGAAATTGTTACTTACCCTGAGCAAATCATCTATACGACCTTCTTTTTTTTCCAGGTCCTGGTTTTTATTACTTTCTAATGCTGCTAATTTCTGCATTGTGAGATCAGTCTACATGAAAGAAAACGGTTTTGTTATATCTATTACATATATCATTGCATAAAAACACAAAGCTAATTTTTTTTCACAAAACTAGATTTTAAGCAGCAAAATAAATATGTAAATAAACTTTGATTTTATATGTATGTAAAGGATAGTCTAAAAAGGCTTACTTAAATTTTAAGCACTGATTACTTTAAAAGTAAAAATTGCTGTAAATATTATAAAATGTACAAGGAATCATTTGAATTAGTTATTTAACTTTTATAGAACACTGACATGCTTCTGATTAAAATTCAATATAGACACCGTCTTGAGCTATACATCTCTCTGGTTGATGCTTTTATTTTGCAAAATTTCATGAGCTACTGCTCACTGACTGCAAGAATGTCACTGTAATTTGAACCTCAAGATTAGATTGCATGTTTGGATGTGACACCCCCCCCACCCCACCCCCGGGAAAAAAAGCTTATGGAACTAAATCAGGGAATCAAATTTACCAAGCAAAAGGGTCTTTTCTCCCAATGCAGTCTTACAGAATGTCGCCCAAAAACAGTCGTACAAAAATAATTACAGTACTCTGGACTCAAAATTTTGAAAACAAAGTAAGTACATACGTGAATAATTAAAAGTTCAAATAATTTTTCTAAGTTTGTAGAATAGACTTTTAAAGATAAATACAGACGCTGACTTATAATCTGCTCTAATGTCCACTTATAACAAATGTAGTGACCTCAAGAGAACATCAATTATATGTACCTGGATGTTAACTTTCAAAGAATCAGTAAACAGAATCAACATGTTATGGTTGTTTGGTTTATCTGATAGGGCTACACAGTGATATGCTTACCAGTGTATAACAAAGGACAAACTGATGGTAAGCTTCAACTTCCCACCCCTTATAAATTGGGTTTTTTTGTTTGTTTGTGTGTCTGTCTGTTCAGTAAGTTAGTTTATTGGTTTAATTGTATTTTATGATTATGTCTAAAACAAATAGCAAGCACCTTAGTTGTTTGTGAAAAGTTAGGTACTTGATTTCTTAAAAGTCACAGGTAAAAAATATGTATCTATTACCATTTACCTGAATAATTTTAAAGGATAACTGCTTTGGTTGTACAATAGGGTGGTCCCCAAAAGCTAATGCAGAAGAAGGGCTATTCGGTCGAACCTAAAAAAAATAAATTCATTAAAATGTTCACCTTATTAGGGAAAAGAAAGCAGGTTTATACTTGGCAATAACTACATTTCTGAAGATTTTGTATCAGGATAATCTGATTGGAAGCATAAGTGACTTTAAAACTGAAATCATGATTTATTCAACAAGTATTCATTGAGTACATTCACTACAGAAGGCCTAATAAGACATACGAATACATATTCACTACCCTCCAGGAGCTTCCGATCTAGTGCTACAAAATACATCTTAATCCTTGCAAATTCCTTAAAGAAAATAAGACCAAAGAAATCATTTTAAAACAAAAAATAACAAAAACTGTTAAGATGGTTTAAAAAGTAAAATAGACAGATTTTCATATAGCTCTTAGTAGCAGGGTAATAATGCATATTCAGGAACTATGGTTTGTATCTAGCCAGTTTAATAATCACAACCATCGAAAAGGAGAGTACAAAATGTTATTTATCCGACCACTATAGTTAATAGTGATTGTTTAGTCTTTTCTTTACGTTTGATATGGCACGGGGATGTGTCCTGAGGTACAAAACAACGAAGACACCTTCAGGTTATGTCTAGAGACAGGAACTGGAGTTCTTGGGAATGTAAACAATTAATATGCTCAGCTGCTGCTCACAGAAATGTTTTAAGTTCAAGCAGCCACTGAAAATCCCACGGAGCACAGTTTTACTGTTACACACACAGGGACGCCAAGAGTCAGCATCAACCTGATGCCACTTGGTTTTATAGAGAAGGGCTAGCAGGAGACAGACACCAAACCAAGCCAAACTCGCTTCCTAGTAGAACAGAATAGTTTGCAGTTTTGAGGCTGAAAAGTCTTTATAGGAGCAGCCAGCTTCATCTTTCTCAGAGTGGCTGGTGGGTTTGAACTGTTGACCTTGCAGTTAGCAGCCTAATGTGTGGGGCTCCTTCAGAAGGAGACACAGGAAAAATAAGAGTACAGTGAACCCTCGCCACTT